GAGTTCTCTAAAGGGGATCCCACCGTAGGGAGGCACTGAGCCCCTAGGGCCAATCGAACGGCCCTGGCACCCGCTAGAGAAGCCTTCTGGTACTTTTTTGGAGCACGTCTCTGGACCACTAGCCGACCCCTATCGAATGGGGCACGGGCCTCCACTCGGACTTACCCGATAAAAGCTCACCGGAAATGTCATCGCTCGCGCCCATCGAGGGTAGCCTGGCATGTTCCACCCCTCCTTCCGAGCGAAAAGGAAGCGAGGGTCGCATAAAAAGCCGGGGGAACTCTCGATCGCCCTCTCGCCCACGCTGGAGGCTCGGGGCTCTTTCTGCAACCTTGCCGAGAGACCAGTGGCCTAGGTTTCGCACGCCAAGGGCTTGGCAAACAACCCCTCCTTCCAAGCGAAAAGGATGCGCGAGGGTCGCACAAAAAGCCGGGGAACTCCTGATCGCGCTCTCGCTATGGGCGGAGGCTCTGGGGCTCTTCCTCGCAACCTTGCCGAGACCCAGCGGGCCTAGGCTCGTCTTGAGAGGGCTCGGCAAACAACCCTCCTTCCGAAAGCGAAAAGGATGCGCAAGGGTCGCACAAAAAGCCTGGGAACTCCTGATCGCCATCTCGGCCCGCTGCGGAGGCTCGGGGCTCTTCCTGCAACCTCTCACACCCCGAGGGTCGGAAAACGCGACGAAAAAGGGCACCAAGCCCATTACGGTCCAGAGATTCGAAGGCTGGGCCATTATGGTCTCGACAGCCGCCTCAGGACGACAGAGTCAGGGACAACTATGGGCGAGCCGCACATGGCCGAGGCCCGTGCAAGCGATTGCTTGGGATGCCCTAAGTCGTGTCGAGAGACCAGCAGGAGTTCTCTAAAGGGATCCACACCAGGGAGGCACCGAGCCCCTAGGGCCATTCGAACGGCCCCGGCACCCGCTAGAGAAGCCTTCGGTACTTTTTTGGAGAGCGTCTACGGACCACTAGCCGACCCCTATCGAATGGGGCACGGGCCTCCACTCGGACTTACCCGATAAAAGCTCACCGGAAATGTCACCGCCGCATACCACCGAGGGTAGCTCGGCATGTTCCACCCTCCTTCCGAAGCGAAAAGGATGCGCGAGGGTCGCACAAAAAGCCGGGGAACTCTGATCGCCTCTCGCACGGGCAGAGGCTGGGGCTCTTCCCGCAACCTTGCGGAGACCCATGTGCCTAGGCTGCGCACGCCGAAGGGCTCGCAAACAACCCCTCCTTCCGAGCGAAAAGGATGTGCGAGGGTCGTACAAAAAGCCAGGGGAACTCCTGATCGCCCTCTCGCCACGTGCAGAGGCTCGGGGGCTCTTCCTGCAAACATTGCCGAGACCCAGTGGCCTAAGCTCGCACACGAAGGGCTCGGCAAACAACCCCTCCTTCCGAACGAAAAGGATGCGCGAGGGTCGTACAAAAAGCCAAGAGAACTCCTGACCGCCCTCTCGCTCCGTGCGGAGGCTCGGGGGCTCTTCCTGCAAACCTTGCCGAGACCCAGCGACCTAGGATCGCACGCGAGGGCTCGGCAGGCTCGGGTGCTCCTCCTGCACCCCAAACAAGCGACCCGAGCTCGCTCTCATGGGTCAAGCAAATGTGATAGAGCGCCTTACTCAACGAAGAAAAAGCCCATAAAGGAGTAAACTCACTCCTCTAGGGCCTCGGTGGCTACACCCGGCGGGTGCGCTCGCGCGCACCCACCGGAATCGTGAGTATAAAACGAACCCGACAAGAGCCACTGAGAAACAAAAGTCTCAAAAAAACCTCGGGGAGAGTATCCCACACTCTCGCCCGAGGCTCGGGGGCTACTGTCGGATACCCGAAAATAGGGTACCCCAAGCAAAGGTCGAAAAAACTGCTTAGACCCTAAGAACAGAACCAACGGAATAAACGAACGAGGTCTCGGCCGAAATCTCCGATTCGCCCGAGACCCCGTCGCCGAGCCCCAGCGGAAGCGAACGATTCTCCGACTCGCCCGAGACCGCCTCGCCGAGGCCCCCTCGCCCGGGGCCTCGGAAGAAGTGCCGATTCTCCGATTCGCGCGAGGCCGGCTCGGCACCAGCCCCGTGGCCGCCTCTTCAACCAAATCGCTCGACCAACGCCGCATCCAAGCGCCCAACCACTCCGGCTGCAGACGCTTACGATGGCACAAGACAAACAAGTGATCGACTACACGCCGATCGCGTCAACCTCCCGCCATCTGCGCGGCCAGATAGAGCAGGGTTACCGACCATCGTGGCCGCCTAACTCCCGCACCAAGGACATCGCAACATGGGGAGTCGAACGGGTTCCGTAGCCTCGGAATCGGCCGGACCGACCGCTGCGTCTCGCCCGAGCCCCTCGACGGGGCCTCGGATTCACCGATCTTACTCCGCCGCGCCGTCCGCCGCCGGGACCCCGGTAGGGCCTCTGACGAATTGACCACGCTTCCGCCTCGCCCGAGGCCGGGCAAATCCCGCAACCTCGTCGCCTCCGCCTCAAAAGTCTCTCCGGGCAGTCGTCGATCCGATTAATCGCGCCACCGCACCTCGCCACGTAAGCCACGATCGGCAAGCAGGCCGCAACAGAGCGACGGACAACGGTCGATCACCTTTTCTACCATCCCCATCGACAATACAGGTAATCAGATCCTATAGGCGCGACGTCTCGCACTATTCCGCTTCGATGGCTCTGAGACCCCAGATCCGCACTGGTCACTTCTCGTGCCTCGACACGGCGCAGCCTCGACACAACAGCCTCGACACGACAGCCTCGGCACGACGACCGGCCACGATGGCCGCCGAGCCTCTGCAATCCACCAAGTCAACAAATGCGCAAAGATGTTACTTGCGATGGAGACCATACCGATTAGACATCTACGGAACTCCCACGACAACGCCATGTCGCTCCGAGAGTAAATACGTCATCGAATAGTCCTTGCTCCACGTGTAGCTCTCTTATGTACTCCTGGTTTCCTCCCTACGGCTATAAAAGGAGGCAGCCAGGACCGTTTCTAGGATGAGGGATAGAATCACGAATACTCGCACGAACAACACGCCTCATTCTGTAATTCATATCACCTCCCCTCACAGAGACCTGGGACGAACTCCCTCTCTCGCCTAGCTTGTAACCCCCTACTACGAGCACCCCGGTGCAAGGAATACAAGAACATCTTCTCAGACTGGACGTAGGGCATCCATTGACCGAACCAGTATAAACCTTGTGTCTCTTTGCATTTCCATCCGGAATTAGGAGCACGCAGCATAAATTCACTAGTCGGTTAAGGACCCCCGGTTCCGAAACACCGACAATATGTATAGTAATAGGACTACGTATCATCGCTAGATGCGAGTTGTTCTAGCTTGTATCAAGTTAGCTATTTATCGACATACCAAGAATTGATCTTTCTTTATATGTGGTGACTATTTTGGATATCGCGCTGCATAGAGATACATAAATTTATTTAGGCTGGATTGGACAACAAATATCTTAAGACCTTAACTCGCTGTTTGATAAGTTGGACAGAACCAAGTTTCACTGTGATAAGTTTTATTTCTAATCGGATAAAAATACATCACTAACTTAGTGTGGTAGGAATCTTTGGTACTTAGGAAAGAGTCAAGGTCATTGTTTTTGACACTTATTATATTTGTTGGAACGGGACAAAAATGGTTCAAAAAATTATGAAAAACAAAACTGAAAAATTGGCATGAATGATAGTAAGAAATAAAATAAAAAATCGGCCTCCATGGAAAACAACAATAAGAGCAAAATGAACATGAGTTCGATAAAAAAAATGGCCTGGTGAGAAAGTAAATCGGACGTGAGTCCGTTTAGGATTCTGTCCAGATGAAAAAACGACGACATAAGTTAACGCTCACAAAAATCGTCCATATAGCCTCAGAAAATTACAAGAAAGGGGAAATTATCGGAGTTGAATTAGACGAACAACATAAGATGAAGAAATTTTTTTTTGCTCTTAATTAACAGGCGTTGAACTGGCCGCAAAAGCTAAACTGTGAGCTGTGATGCACGCGATGACGAAGACCAGTTCCTGTGATCATAAAAAAAAATAGATTTGTCTAATTTATATTTGCTTACTTTCTACTTTTATTATCTTTTCTATTTCTGTTTTGAGTAGGATTCCTATTCTAGGCAAGAAGCCTCATAAAGGAGTCTATTTTGGTTAGGATTCCTATTCAAGTTACCTTAAGAAACCACATATATTTATCATGTAATAAAATAGTAGGGTACCCTAAAAAAATAGTAGGGATGTACATGTGTTTGGGACGGATTCTACGTTCACAAAGTTAGCTAAGGAAGGGCCTGGCAAATAAATGGATGGAGAAAATTTTTGCCTCTTTAACATATTTATTTAATAGTGCCTTAATAAATATTAATAATATTTGTATATATATTTAATTAAAGTTAACCAACCTACTAACGCTCTACTAGTACATAGTATGTCTACATCACGTTCACGTCACGGTCCTCTGGATAACGATAAATAAGTAAAGTCAATAACGTTGACTGGATATTCGGATTGGCCAATCGCGAATCATCGGTCGATCGATTCCATTCGTCCTTCGTACCGGACGGCTTCTCTGGTGGGCCAACCCTGGCGGACCGGCACGGTGGCTCGTCCGGCTGACAGGCCGGCCTGCCCGCGCTCGTGCGGCCTGTCGTCCACGCCCAGTGGGCCCAGGACTGCTTAAGTGCGCACGTGTACCCTCTGGCGCCCAACCACGTAATGAGAGGCAGTCTGGCCTTCTGGGCGCTTCTGTGCTCCGGTGCCCATCTCCGACAAGACGAACGCGACACATCCGTCCGCATCCGCGCTGGAAAAAGAAGAAGAAAAGATGTGCACCGGCAACAAAGTCGAACAACTACAATCATCGTGAGGCTATAAAATAGCGACGGAGCACAAGTGTTGATCCACCAAGGCAGGAGCAGCGGTCAGACGTCAGAGTCCGATCTGAGACAAAAAGAAGCACAAGTGGAGTGATAGGAGCAATGGCGGGTGGTGGTGGTGGTTCGTCGCCGGCAAGGCTAGCACTGCTGGTGGTGGCAGCGGTCGTGGCTTGCGTCGCCGGCGCCGTGGCGGGGGGCAAGGTGGTGCAAGTGGAGGAGGCGCACCGGCGGAGCATGCTGGCCAATGGCCTCGGCTCGGCCCCTCCCATGGGGTAGGGTAACATTCTTTTGGGGCTTTTTCCTTGCAAGTGTCTGGCTGCGCGGGCGTGTGTGTTGGTCTGATTTCTGACCGACCGCAGGTGGAACAGCTGGAACCACTTCCAGTGCGACGGCAACGGCGAGGTGGTCATCAGGGAGACCGGTACGTCTTCTGTTCTTCAGTTTCGTTCTAGCTGTCGAGCTTGCTGAATAAAGCAGCTGATGATGAGCTTGCTCTCTTATCTGTTTCTTTCTTTCTTTCTCGGTTGCCGCCCATGCCTTGATGGTCCTCAGCTGACGCACTCGTGTCCACCGGCCTCGCTGCTCTCGGCTACAGATACGTCATCATCGGTGCGCCAGCTCACTCGCTCTAGCCTCTCGGTTTATTCTTGATTACCTTTTCTTTCGGAAGGATAAAAAATAATTCTTAATTGAACTGGTTTATTATTCCTCTTTCTCTATCAGATGATTGCTGGGCAGAGCCACAACGTGATGCTAAGGTACGTACAACCGATGCTTCAAGTCTGAACTTAACTGAACTGAATAACAATTGGTGCTAAGCAGTAAGCACCTGCTCCGGCCGTTGCAGGGCAATCTGGTGGCCAACACCAAGACGTTCCCGCACGGGATCAAGGCGCTGGCGGATTACGTCCACAGCAAGGGGCTCAAGCTCGGGATCTACTCCGACGCCGGGTGAGATTGGCAACCCAGCTTCTGCTTCTGCTTGCCCAGGCCATTCATTAACGAACCCGGGGGGAACGAACAGCTTGCTTTCCCCGGCAGGCCGGCACTTGTTTTTCACCACCACCATCTCCGTCTGTAAGACTGTAACAAATTGCTCTGCAGGTTCCAGACCTGCGCCAAGGCCCAGCCCGGGTCCCTCGGGCACGAGGAGCAGGACGCCAAGACCTTCGCGGCATGGGTGAGTTAAAAGGCATTGTTTTTTTCAAGGGAAGACGAAGATCATGTGTGATTTGCGACCTGTTCATTGGCTGTGTCCACGCACGCAGGGAGTGGATTACCTCAAGTACGACAACTGCAACAACGGCGACCTCAAGCCGCTGGAGAGGTCAGGCTCACGCATGCCCTTCCCTATCCCTTCCCTGAGCCCCTCCCTGTCCATCTCCAACGTGTGACTGTCTGAGGAAGGAACTGTAGGCAGCCGAGAAGGAACTGTACCTGACACTGACAGGTTTTGTGGCACGTGAACAGGTACCCGGAGATGAGCAGAGCGCTGATGAAGGTGGGGCGGCCGATCTACTTCGCGCTCTGCGAATGGTACGGTAATCACTAATCAGACGTCTCTTGATCGCCATGCTCGGTTTCGTGACTCATGCGGCCTCTCGCCTTGCCGGGGATCGATCGCTAGGGGCGACATGCACCCGGCGAAGTGGGGGGCGGCCTACGGCAACAGCTGGAGGACCACCAACGACATCGCCGACACTTGGGACAGGTCACAACATCTCTGACTGACTTTAGTTAGTTTCTTGTCTGTCCAGTCCAGATTGTTTTGCCGTTGTCCTGTCCAGATTTGTTTGTTTGCTTCACTGAGAGGATACGATACCTGTTGTTACCGGCGTTCTTCCAGCATGATCGCCACGGCGGACCAGAACGAGGTGTGGTCGGAGTACGCTCGCCCCGGCGGCTGGAACGGTCTGTGCATTACATCATCAGTTGCCGGATCCTAATTCCGACGAGGCGTTTCATGTTCATATACTAGATGGCCTCTCGCCTTGTAATTATATATACATACTCCGGTGGTTTTGCAGATCCGGACATGCTGGAGGTGGGCAACGGGGGCATGACGAACAGCGAGTATATCGTGCACTTCAGCCTCTGGGCGATCTCCAAGGTACGACTGCAGGCGCACATACCTGCTCTCTTTCTGCATCTTGGTACAGTACAGACAGAGCATTTGGGGCCAGTTAGAGATCTTGTCTGAACATGTCCGGGCCGTTCCAATGAGTGTGTGCAGGCGCCACTCCTCATCGGCTGCGACGTGAGGCACATGTCGCAGGAGACGTACGACATCCTGGCCAACAAGGAGGTGATCGCCGTCAACCAAGGTGAGCGCTTCGAGCGTGACCACTGACCAGCAGCATTCCCAGTTTCAGCGCCTGTGTTCAGTTGTTTACTGACGGCTGGCGATGGACTGTTTCCGTTCTGTTTGGGCATGCGGCGTCGCGACTGCGTGCAGATCCGCTGGGCGTGCAGGGGAAGAAGGTTCGGATGGAGGGCAGCAGCGAGATATGGGCGGCGCCGCTCTCCGAGTACCGGACGGCGGTGGTGCTCCTGAACAGGCACGCCAAGGACGAGGCCACCATCACCGCGCACTGGGACGACATCGGCCTCCCCGCCGGCACGCCCGTCGAGGCCAGGGACCTGTGGCTGGTACGTAAGCGCTGAGCATACGCATGGGCGAATCGGTCAGCGAACCAGCGAGCCTTGACTGACACTGACTCGGGTGTCGTTGTCGTTGTTGTGTGTCGGACAGCACGAGACGCTGGACGCCACGTTCACGGACAAGATGAGCATCGACGTCGCGCCGCACTCGTGCAGGATGTTCGTGCTCAAGCCCAGGATCCACATCCGGTGAACGACACCACCACGCCGCATACGGCAGGCGACACGGCGACGTCATTCACCCTGTTCGCTTGGACTTTTTTGGCTAATTGCAATTTGCATACGTGGAATTACGGAATCAATCACCGAAGAATGTTTCTTGTTCCTTTTACTGTGCCGTGTGTGTGTTTTTCCTCTTGGGGTAAGATGCTCTCGACTCAACTGAGATACCGGGCCCTCATGGTGGCCTGTCGGCAGGCTCTAGCGAACCAATGGAGAGCAAAACGCGGCCCAGCCCAACTGGGAACCGAAATCCACCGCACCGGCCCAGGCAGGTTTCTCATCCAAACCAAACGGATTGCATCGCGCGTATTGGCGTGTGCACGGCTACGTCGGTTTGGTGTCCCTACGCCCGGCGCCCAGTTCAAATAATATTCTGAAATTCGGAGTGCTGGCGTCTGGATGCCCGCGCTTGCACTCTATCTTTCTCCGTGCACATGTATCTCGCGTCCGTCTACATGGGACCCGTGCTGTCCGACTACACGTGGGGAGTCCCCGCTCGCGCCCCCTCCGCTTCTCACGCACGTGCACGTGGCCAGCAGCTACAACATGTGACTATAATAGGTGGCTACGCCAGCATCTAAATGAGGAGGAAGGGGCGGCATCAGGCGGAGGAGGAGGAGGAGACACCGAGGCGACGGTGAGACAAGAGAAAAACGAAAGACAGAGATGCAACGTTCGATCTATTTTTGAAACATCTGGATGCAACACTTGTAACATACGTCTGAAGGCAGATAAAACACATAAAAAATGCATCTGAAACACTAGCTGTAACACCAGATCTACTTTTGAAATATCCAGATGAAAACACTTGCAACATATGTACGAAACATGCGTATGAAACACTCGAAAAAAACACCTGAAAACACTTCATATGTGTGAAAACATATGCAACATCCAGATGAAACACTTGCAAATGTACGTCCAAAAAACGAGATGAAACATTTAGAACATATACTTGAAACATACGTGTATAGCCACTACAACACATGCAACATTCTGATCTACTTTTGCAACATCAAGATGAAACATCTGAAACACTACATACTCTTGCAACATGGGTTTTGCTTGGACGAATGGAGGCACGCCGGCGCGGAGGTCGACGACGGCGCATGGACCTCGCTGTGCGGCAGCGGCCCGAGCAACTCGCCAGCGGGCGCGGTGTCACACGAATCTCGTCCCCCTCGCCTTCTTGCCGGAGCATCCGTTGTGGAGGCTCGTCGGCTCAGTGGAGGCGACTGCGGCTCGCTAGCTCGGTGGAGGCGGTCGCGACGAGGAGGCAGGCGAGGCAGACTGAGCCTAGTGGGGAATGCAGCGCGGAGGAGGTAGAGCGGGGAGGCAGCACGGAGGAGCGGCGATGTGGCAGCAACCAGGGACGCTGAACGCTGATGTGGTCGGGGTTGTCGCACCGTGGATTTGGGCGCGGTACTGGCGTGCCACAGCGCATGGCACGGCAAGGCCCATAACAGGCCCACGGCAAGGCCTCTCTTCTTCCCTTTCTCTCCATTCCTTTCTCTGTCTCGTCCGCCGTCGCCCTACACCGCCGCCACCCGCCCGATCGTGCCGCCACCCTCCCGTTGCGCTCGCCCATGGCCTTCGGCCCTCGACCACGCCTCCATCCCTCCCTCTGTCTCCCCATTCCTATTTGGCCATGCCCGCCGTCGTCGCCCCGTCCCTTGGCTCGTCCACCGTCGGCCGTGCCTCCCTACCAGCACCCACGCCGCATCCCCTGGTGTAGGCTGGGGGTCAGCCACTTGGCCGCCCGTGCCGCCTTCCTTGTTGGGCGGTCGTTCGGCCGCCGCCGCCGTCGGCCTCGTCGGCGTCGCCCGTACCCGCCACTATGCGCCGCCAGTGCCCCCTCCCTTGGCTCGTCCACCGTCGGCCGTGCCTCCCGACCTACGCCCGCACGCCTCCCTACCTGCACCCGTGCCCCTCCCTTCCTGTTTGGCTGTGCCCACCACCGTCGCCTGTGCCTGTCGCCGCGCACCACCATCGCCTCCTCCCTTGGCTCATTCATCACCGGTCGCGCCTCCCTACCTGCGCGCGCCTCCTCCCCTGGTGATAGGCTGGGGGTTAGCCCCTTGGCCGACCACACCGCCTCCCTTGGTGGGCAGCCGTTCGGCCACCGCTGCCGTCGGCCTCGCCGCCGGCCCTCTCCATCATCGGGGCTAACCCCCAGGAGCTATCCCCGTTGTTGCTAAGGTATTCCCCCCTTCAAGACCCTCATTTTGGTGATTAAATTTTGAATGAATTGATTATTGTTAGTGATTTGGTATAGTTAAGTAGTTAGGATTTAGGGTATGGGTAGGTAGTTAGCCTTTAGGTTTTTGTTAGTTAGGATATTGGGTTTAGGGTTTAGTTAGTAATTTAGGGTTTAGGTTTTTGTTTGTTAGGATTTGGGGTTTAGGGTTTAGGCTATTGTTAGTTAGGATTTTGGGTTTAGGGATTGGTTAGGTAGTTATGGTTTAGTTAGTTTGTAGTAGTAATGGTAGTTAGTATAGATACCAATTTTCATGTGTTGGTACTTAGTAGTGCATGATATGACAATTTCAACGACTTAATGAAGTTTTCTCAAATGCTTTTATAGATGGATTGTTGTGTCCGAGTTTTTTACGGAGGAAGTGTTAGGAAAGAAGATGGTATGTTTGAGGATATGGAAGAAGAATTGGAATGGTTTGATGAACCTCCTAGTTTCGACGACCTTTGTGTCTGTTTGAATGCAAAGTTTGGTGGTGATTTCACAGTGAAGGAGAGGTTTGATAGTGGGAAGACTAGGGCACACTATGTCCTGATGCCCTTGCGCGACCCTGCTCACTGGTCCTACTACAATAGGGTGCTCCAAGGTTCTAATGTGCCCATGGCTAAGGTGGTGGTGGAGAATAGTTATAGGATGCAGGGTCTCTAGGACGGGCCGTCTAATGATGGTGTTGGAGGCAATGAACAAGAATTGTGGGTCAAAGGGGAAGCAACTCAGGGTAACATGGATTTGGATGGTCAGTTGACGCAGGAGCAGTTTCATTCAACTCTAGTAGGTTGTATAACCAATGACTTCGATGTGAACGAGTTCAAACGGGAAGAGGAGGAGCAGGAGCAGGAGGACAGGATTGGTGATGCAGTTAGCAGTGATTCAGACGATTCTGATGATGACCAAGGAGGTAGAGATGCTATTGTGATAGAACCGCTCGAAATAACGCACTTACGGAGGCGCTCGTCTTCCACCAGACACCAAGCACCCCGAAAGCAAGCTACAACGAGCGGTTCTGTTGGGCACACCCTAAGGGAGAGCCCAAAAGATCCACATTTTCCCCAAGGATCCAATAATGAGAACGAGTTACAATACTTAATCTATTTCATACATCCAGAGTTCTTAGAAATTCATTATTACATTGCCAAATTCAGAGTGCGGAAGATTAAACATTGGAATGATAATAAACATCTAGCGATAAGGAACAAGGATCCATCTGTGTCCACCAGAAGAATCCTTCACACAACGGTACTCCTCAAGCATTACCTACAATAAGGGTAAATAAATCCTGAGTACACAATGTACTCATAAGACTTATCCGACTAGTGGGAATAGTTTTCTGACTCCAAGGGATATGCAAAGCTATATTGTTTGCTGGGTTTCTTTTTGCAGAAAGCAATACTAATAGTGAGTCCTTATTTATGTTATTATTAGCAGCCATTATTAATTTATTATCTAGACATTCTATGGAAGAACCTATTTTACTTTCAAGCAAGAGTTGAGCAATTAGTTCCATTTCATCACCTTCCATCTTTCAGTTCTTACTACGGTGCTAGACCGTAGACAAGCCGTACCGGAACGTCGGCGATTCGCGAATCAATGCCCCCAGCTGGGTACCCCAAAAACACACGCCCTGCTTGTACCTCAGGCACAAGCAGGACCAACCCATCACCCTCCTGTCATGGGGTCTAGCTCCCCATCCAAACTTGGACTCCAAGTCCCCGCTCCTGAGTCCCGGACTCAGTGCGGTGCAAGGATCTCCACCATCCTCGCCTCCAATTAGTCGGTTTAGAAAGAGTCGGAACCCACGATAAGAGAGCAACAAGTCTTCCCTGCACTCATACCCAAGTATGTGCTTGGGATAATAAATCTGTGACTTGCCTAGAGCCCAATGCAACAGCCGGTCCTTAACCGACACAGACAGGGAAAAAGTGTAACCAACCTATACCCTGTTGGTCGTAGGACACAACCTCTTACACCCACTAATACCCAAACCATATCCCTGCCCGGTCACCATTTTCCCTTTCCACCATTTTATCATGAGTGATCATAATTTTCACCTATTGTGAGGAACGACAGGTTACTCACGCTACCAAAATCCTGAGCATAGCAGCTACTTGGCCTATACTAGTAGGACTCATAGGTAGTTATATCTATGCATGTAGTTTCCATAAAATGTCTGTAACATAAATGCACATCATATATATTCACTGATTATTCAAAAATAGGGGTTATGCACCGGGGCTTGCCTTGGGCAGGCGGTGGGTCAACAAAGCCAGCACCAAAAGGCTTCGGAGCTCCCTCCTACATGAGGATCTCCTCCTCGTACTCTTCAATGACCTCCTCGTAGTCATGTTCGTCTGTAGGCACGAAGTCTACCAACTCATGATCTACATGCATGAAATGATGATGCAACACTTACTAATACGGCAACAGCGACTCTTAAAATAAAAATACATCTAGCAAGCTACTAAGCGAGTCTACCAACTAAGGTGCTAAGTTACCATTAACAAGTATGAAGCATGACATATACTATCTTAACAACTAAAGGTATTCTTACTCTTAATACCGATTTACTATGCTAAAACAAGGAGTACTAGCTACTCTATTTATCCACCTACTCTAGGGCTACAAAAATTACAGTGAGTACATAATAATCTAATGAACCTACTGTAAAATTTAATTGCTAAAGCTACCATCAATTTGCCACAAAAATTCCTACAAATATG